AGCAGCACCATGCTGACCTCACTGAAGTCCCTCTCACCCTTTGCAGGGCAGACGGATAATCCGCGTATCCCAGAGCCGAGCGAGTGCGGGGGACATGGCCCAAGGGAATAATTACGGGCAGACCAGCAACGGGGTGGCGGATGAATCACCCAACATGCTGGTGTACAGGAAGGTAAGAATGTCTTCGCTTTTCTTGGAAAAGGGGGGACCCGGCTTCCTTGAAAATTTTACTCAGATGAAAGTTCAGTGTCAACTTTGTGGCCCGGTGGATCTCCAGGTCCCCAATGCCTGCACTTGGGGATGAGCTGATGTTCTCCAGTGTGGAGGGAGACAGTTAACTCTGTCCTCACACTTCTCCTGGCTGATTTTACAGACTTGAATCCGTGCTCAGCAGTAACAGGAAATTTGAGCATCCCACCTGTTTTGTTTGTGACACACATGACTTTATAGCCTCCTTGGTAACGCTCAGAAGCTTTCCCTTGTACTATCACTAAGCATTTGGGTTATAATAACATCGATGTTTAATACTAGAAACGAAAATAGACGGCTTTGCAGTTCTGTGACAAGAGTGAGTGTGTCTGTAAACGTAGGGATGGTTTAATGATCTTTCTCCTAACAAAGCAATCCTGGTTGTATTTGTTTTTGACTTAGCCTAGATTATTTTTTAGTTTGTGTTATTTTTATAATTTTGCTTATGAGTACTTACGTTATAGCACCAAATGCCCAAATCTTTATATAACAGAGGTGTTTGTTGTGTTTTTTTTTTTGCCACAAACCAATCTGGCAGCTTTATACATTTGGTAACAACGCTATCAGCAACAAACTTCTAGACACTGGGCCACTATCATGATGTGTTTGCATATTGTGCACACTTCAGAGTGGTTGCTTAGGTGACTTCACTCTGAGGATGAGCAACAATATTACTAAAATCAAGGAAGCAGTATTCTTAATTTAACTATTGTACTACTCGTTTCTATTGCATTTTACGCTGAGATTATTTTTTTTTCTTTAGCGTATTATCTGGAGGCTTATTGGTCAAGATTTCTTTAGTTAGCATCAGAAACAGTTGAAAGGAAATCGTACCTTGAAACCAAGAAAATTTTTAAAGACTTTGATTAGCACGAGCTCACTGAAGAGCCAGGGTGGGTTTGCATTGATCTGTCAGCCAGGGATCATGACAGATCCAAACTTTCCCCCTCTGTGGTCCAGGATCAGTGAGAGGTGAGGATGAATGTGTGTTTGAGGGAACCTTGTTACTGCTTTACTGTGAAGGCGCATGGGCATATCGACCCAATGCTCGCTCTTTTTTTCTCTAGCTTATGGACAGTACTATATTGTGTACCTGTGAACTCAGTTTTATGCGTCCGTGACAACATAGTATGGTAGAAAAGAGAAAATAGAGATTAAATGCCTATTTTAGCCTTAAAGCATCCCAGCTGGATAAAGCGAGAAAATAATCCACTTGAGCTTAAATTAATACCATTGTATTTCTACATTGATTAAGATAACTGTATATTTGCCCATTCTATGTAGAGCTGGTTCTGAGAAGAGCTATTTGGGGGCAGTTGTGTGTTTTAAAATGATTTATAATATTTTTATTGTTCGGTATGATTCTGAATTTTGTAATATGCAAGATATGAGAATTGATAATTGTACCTTATAGGTGTGTGCCATGTGGAGAGTCAGACTTTTGGGTGTAAAATTACAGTAGTTAGCCAGGTCAGACACTACATTTTCTCTGTTTTCTCATGAAACATTGGGGCTGAATTGATCAGACAACTGGGATATCTTGATTAGAAATAAACCTAATGTGACATCAATCCATGTGTCTTATTTAGTCAATTATGAAAATAAATGAACAAAATGAGGCTAGGTGTTTTAGAAATAGTTATTGGATTGTTTAGTGTATTTGAGCTTCATGTGGCTGATTTTGAATTTACCATATCAAGTTGTATAGCACCAAATTGCTTTTAGTGCTACTTGTAAATTAATAGACTAGGATGACTTCAGGGAGACAATACAATGCCTCATTCTTTTTTTCTTTTTTTAAAAATTTGTCTTTATTGTTGAAAGTATTACAGGTGTCTCATTTTCCCCCCCAACTGACCCCCTCCACCTTGCTCCCACCCCCTGCCCAGGCCTTCACCCCGTTATTGTCTGTGTCCATGGGTTATGCATATATGCATACAACTTCTTTGGTTCATCTCTTCCCACCCTCCACCCCCCTTCCCTCTGAAATATGATCGTCTGTCACATGCACNTCTGTTACATGCATCAATGCCTCTGGATCTATTTAGTTCATCAGATTCTTTTGTTCATTAGCTTCTTGCTAAAGAAGACCCTTCAACATTTCCTGTAGTGCTGGTTTGGTGGTGATGAACTCCTTTACCTTTTCCTTGTCTGATAAGCTCTTTATCTGACCTTCAGTTCTAAATGATAGCTTTGCTGGGTAATCTTGGTTGTAGTTCCATGTTTTTCATCACTTTGAATATTTCTTGCCATTCCTTTCTGGCCTGCAAAGTTTCTGTTGAGAAATCAACTGACAGTCGTATGGGTGCTCCCTTGTAGGTAACTAATTGCTTTTCTTTTGCTGCTTTTAAGATTCTCTCTTTGTCTTTAACCTTTGGCATTTTAAGTATGATGTGTCTTGCTGTGGGCCTCTTTGAGTTCCTCTTGTTTGGGAACCTCTGTGCTTTCTGGACTTGTAAGTCTGTTTCTTTCCCCAGGTAGGGGAAGTTTTCTATAATTATTTTTTCAAATAGGTTTTCAATTTCTTGCTCTCTTTCTTCTTCTTCTGGCACCCCAATAACACGAATGTTGGGCCTCTTGAAGTTGTCCCAGAGGCTCCTTATGCTATGTTCATACTTCTGGATTCTTTTTTCTTTTTGCTCTTCTGGTTGGGTGTTTTTTGTTTCCTCATGTTCCAAATTGCTGTTTTGATTCTCAACATCCTCAACTGTTGATTCCCTGTAAATTATTCTTCATTTCAGTTCCTGTAGCGTTCATTTCAAATTGGTACTTTATTATGTCATCGATTTTCTCAGTTAAATAACTGAGAAATACTCTTACTAATATCCTTGAGCATCCTTATAACCATTATTCTGAACTCTGTATCTGTTAGCTTGCTTGGACCTATTTCATTTAGTTCCTCTCTAGAGATTTCTTCTGTTCTTTCCTTTGTGACATGTTTCTTTGTCTCCACATTTTGGCTGCTTCCTGGTGTTTGTTTCTATGTATTAGGTAGAGCTGCTATGTCTCCTGGAAT